GGAATATCCACGTAATTTTTTTGTTTAGCTAAATTAACTCCCTCTACTCCGGTCAATGCTTATAATCTATATATTGACTCACGATGTCGGTATGAAATATCAGTACGTAAGTACTGCATTTGACAAAGCGTTGGTCCAGATGAATAGGGTATTTTCTCAAAAACAGATTTTTCAGGAGAGCAATTTTAAAGTTCTTCTTGCATTATTTCTATAATTATTTGGTTCACCTCACCTACATGTATTTAAAGCTTACAGATTTTACAGCATTTTTTAATACTTTTTATTCTTATTCAGTTCCGTAGTGCTGAGAAAATCTTGAAATTATTATAATATTACCCTTTTGAACATAAAATATTTGTGATTCTGTTTATAACCAACCTATTCATGCTTAATACTTTTAAATGAAAGAAGGAATAATATTTATTTCGATAAAAGTTTGAAGAACATAATAGTACCTATCTCAAAAAATTACTCTCGGTATACTATAAATAACCATAACAGTTCAATGAAAAAAATAGCCCAAAGAAGGTATAACCTTGAAATAACTGTCTTTGTTTTAAAAAGAAATATTTTTAAAATACATTTTCCTTATAATGAACAGAAGCTATGTTATAGTTTTAATAATACCCTGTTCAATGAACGACGACGTCTTGACGACTACAGCTTCGCGTGTAATACTGAATACGACTTTGTTGGTCAATGTTTGGGGCCAAGACGTGCGAAAAGGTCAGAGATACTATCTTGCCTACGGCGCCATTTCGCATCCGATCGTTATAAAACTTTTTAACCGTATTGTTCAAACTTTTGAGTTGATAACGTGTTCATCCTAGGCAACGAAAGGTAAATATGGCACTTGAATACATGATGAACACGTTAATTTTTTTAAATTATGTTACAACTTAACTGAAATAATAATGTTACAAACCTGCGCTCTGAGCGCAATGTAGGCATTGATGAGCCGAATAGGCGCGAGGTGCCCTACTTGGTCTTATTAAACCATGGTCTATGTCTACTTTATTGGGAGAATGGCAACTTTTCTTTACCTACGTTTACTTCTTTTAATTTCATACAACAAACTATTAATTCATACATTAGCAAACCGAACGAACTTCAACAATATAAGCCATTTTTAATTTAAAAAAATTCAAGAAGTGGCCTGACAGTATTTTGTGCCATCCTATCATAATTTTCACTACAATTTCTGACTTGGGCTACATAACCTAACTGCGTTTGTCGTTACTGCTGTATGTATTTAGAACTGTCTGAAGAATAAATTATAGGTTTGTATTTATAGATAAATAAAAGCAAAAGAGCGTTGTGGTAAAATGAACATCGCCGTTGTTCTGGACAAATCTTTAAATTGCATACACGCAGTAAAGTTTTATTTATGATTATTTTCCTCGTTTCTCATTGAAAAGTACCTCTCGCTACGCTAACCCACGGCTACGACCCTTATAGTACCATATATAATTTAATACAAGCTACAAATGTGCTCATGGATCAAATGTAAATTTCAAATTAATTAAGATGTATGTTTGACATTTTTTCTGGAAAAACAAGCCCAATGTTTCGGATAAAATAATTTACAACGAAGATATTAGGTACATATTTGTGTTCCGATACGTGTAGTACGTATATAAAAATATTGACGAGGAAGATATTGATGACAAGTTTAATTCCTTATTTCATTGTAATAGTAATTTTTTTACCGACTTCAAAAAAAAGAGGAGGTTCTCAATTCGACTGTATTTTTTTGTATGTATGTTATGCGATAACTCCGGTATTTGTGAACCGATTTACATGATTCTTTTTTGTTGGGAAGATGGATTAAATGGGACCACTATGGATACCTCCATAGTGGTCCCATTTAATTTTGAAGAAAACGATCCATCTCTAAGGGTGGCTGTTTACGCATGAAGATTCATTTTTATAAATAGCGCCTAAATTTTATTATAACGAGCAATTATTTTAATGGTTGATGTTGTTATTCTCCAATTCAAGGCGTTTTTCTCTCTTAATGTACTTTGAGTAGTGAGAACCGATTTTTATTATCTCCTGTAATGATGATTTTATGTCTCCAATAAAACTTGGCAAATAGACGTAATTGCACGTACTTTTGATCGGTTTTTTTAGTACTCTGTACTGAGATTATTCAAAGGCGTCTTTGCGGCTTAGGTCGCCTTCAAGTTAGACGTTGTATAAGCGCTGCAGCGGGCGGTACTAATTTTCATACAATATTCAGTTTGCAAAAGAGCCGTGCACGTGGTGCGACTGTAGCGCTGCAGCTGCGATTCTAAATATTGCACGAAAATTTGTAGTGGCGCCACAGAAAAGAATGAAAATTTGTACAAGCGTCTAATTTGAAGGCGCCCGCTGGCTATGAAACATATAGTATTGTTTCAAACGATGTATTAAGCCATTGTACCCTTCATCAGTTATCCACAGGCCTTCAACTATGTGAGATGAAACCAACTTTGGGATCTCGAATTAGGTTGATGGCGAATGTTCAAATGTGTATAAAAGGGGAAAGAAGATATACAACCATCGATTTGTGACTGGATGTTTTTGATTAGTCACCAAACAATCACTAATTAAATACTGTAACTATTTCTCTTACTGATGTTAAAGGCTATCAATACAAGATATTATTATTACTATAATTAAAATTGTCAACTTCCTGCACTTACGGTAATATTTCTATTTGATGAACATGTTGCAGAGGCTATATAGCTATCAATGACAACAAATTTGTTTCTAGAATGAATTTTCTTTCTTTACTAAATAAACAGAAAAGTATCCTATTATGTAGTTGATTGCATTATATAACTGGGATTGTCTAAAATGACTATGATTATATCATAGATCTGAACAAATCGTCCATTACCAAGAATATCAAAATGCGCCTCGCATAATGAGATCCTTAGATTTCCTCATACTTCTTTACGAAAAGGTAACCTAAGGTAATGTAAGTTTAATGTAAGTTTTATTTTTGATATTGGGTAATTATATGACAATTTTTTTTTTTTTTTTAATTACTATTATTATTTTGACTATTTTAGTAATGTATAATTTTTGACAAAAAATATGACATGTAATGTAATAGATATGTAAATGGAATATTGTAAAGTGTGCTCTCTCTCAGATGTTGCAACGCCCTACCGGGGTGCTATATGTATAAGGAAAAAATGTAAAATTTAGATCTAAGAAAACCATGTAGCAAGCAATGAATAAATAAATAAATAAATAAATAAATAAATAAACCTGGACCATCTTGATAAGGTAAGGACAAAAAATACATGCAGCAAAAAAAAACTCTATTATAAGGCAGGTTATTTTGGTCACGCAGTGAGATGTAGTGACGACAGCTTGGACACGTCAAAAGTAGTGGTGCGAAACATCAAATATCTGGGGTCAAAGGCTGGTTTCCAAATTAACAGATCAGCGATTACTTACAAAGTAAAATAGGCATTGACCTCTGAAAAGAAACGGTGAAGAGTCTGTCCACTCCATATGCCATCATGCCCACGATCCATAGGAATGATGGAACGACCATAGAATGAATTTTGTTACCATATAGGAACTGAAATTATATGACACTTAGGTTATAACAACCTAAAAAAAGTATGAGCGTAAGTGATAGCATAAGAAAGTGTGCCAAGTACAGCCCTCTGCCCTTCCGTCGACCTTGCAGATAATTATTGCCCTGACTGCCTACGTCCACCTACACAATTATATATATATATATATATATATATATATATATAGGTACACATATGTTTGTTGTACACATTATACATCCAAAAATATATACATATATTATATAAACGAGTCTCGGTACCAACCGCCAAACCATCACTTTTGCTTCCATGAACTTCTCGGGAAATGTCAAGCGCAGGGACTTATTACAAAACTTGAGCGCACAAACTACACTGAACGTTCAACTAAGTTCAGAATAAATAATAGACTACTGTACATTCGTGTGCAAGTTACAGTAGGGTCTAAAAACCATCTAATATATTTTATAGCATCAACCACTTGGGTAGGTATTTATGTACACTACGCTTTTGCAGTACAATACTTGTGTTTAGATGTACACATTTACAATACAGTAAATGTGTTTAGATGGTATCTACAAAATTTACAAGTATATATTTGAAGTAACTAAATACGGATTTTCAATAATGGTATAAATTAAAATATTCCCCTACAATTGAACTACGATATCTGTGAAAATAATGATGATTGCAGGCTATTGTTTAATAATAAATCGTTATGAGCTTTTTCGTTATAATCTTTTTTGAAAACTAGTATGTCTGTCCTCCTCGCTACGCAATCTAGAGGGCCTGCCCACATACTGTAGCTTTACACACTCGTAAATTCAAGGTTGTACCTAATACAATATGTACAAATTAGATATATTACGCACGTTAGTGATTACTTCCATAGCTAAGTACCAATTTCTTAGAATTGATGTGGGAAGTGAGTGAAAATCTTTTCTGCTCTTACAAAAAAAATGTATACACCACGACAAATGGCTCATTATTTTATAACAAATCACAATATTATTGTTGATAAATAATATTCTTAACTACTTACTAAAACGTGCTTATAAAACATCGAAGAGCTCAACATAAAGTTACTCGAGCGCTTGAAGGAAATGAAATAATTTGATTGAGAAAGTTTATAGGCCGACTGGTCTAGACACCCCGCCCACTACCACCGTCTCGCTAGATCTGAATTTGTTATACCAAGGTATTATTCTATCCTTTGTCTGACATCCACAATTTTGTTTATGTTAGCAAAGGCAGGGTCGACTATGTATTTCTAACAGTATTCCCCTACCTCGATAATTCAAAATATGACCTACAGATGTTGTACAAGTCATAAAAACTACCAGAAAAATGGTTAAACGTTATTTTTTCATTTGCTTTCCGGTTTTGAAGGGTGCTGGTGAAATAACAGGCACACGAGACTTGTCACCTTATGTCTCAGGGTGACGGGCGTAGTGACAGTGCCCCTTACCCTTGAAAACCGGAACACAGTAATGCTGACATTACTGCTTAGCGGCAGAAATAAGTAGCAGAATGGCAAAAATGACCGTAATTGCAATATAAGCAGTACAGCTCCTCATGAAAGAGTTCGTCCAGGTCAGTACTGCATACATATATATATACAGTAGTACATATATATAATATATATATATAATGCAACAATAATATAATAAAATGTGTGTGTGTACGTACATATATATACGTTATATATATATATGAATTTTCTCAATAACCTGGAAATAGTAGTGAACTCATGTTCACCTTATGACAAGTATTTAATTGCGGGCGATTTTAATTTGAGCAATATAGCGTGAACTCCGGGCTGTATTGATAGTTTTTCGTTAGACACAGTGAATTTTACTACGGATGATGAAAATTTATTGGTCGATGAGTTAAACACTCTTAGGCAGTTTAATGGCCCAAAGAATGTTTATGGGAGGATTCTTGACCTTGTCTTGTCAAACGATGATGTTAAGGTCGTAGACTCTAGTGATGACCCACTCGTACCAGTTGATATGCATCATGGTGCCTTGACTATTGAACCGCAGTTTTCTAACCTTGTTCCCTTGAGTAGTGCCCCGTATGTTAGGTATCTTTTTAACAAGGGGATTCCTGAACTGAACTAGCAGTGGGCTTTGAAATCCAATTCACTTGAGGCTGCCGTTGATTATTTTTACACTCTTTTTTTTTATGGAGGGATAGGTATATACCATGTAAGACGGTCACTGGTAGACGCTATCCCGAATGGTTCTCCCCTGCTCTGAAAAAGGCTCTTAAGGAAAAGTGCAAATATTTGAAGAAATTTAGAATTTGTGGTAACAGTGCTGATGAGCAAACTTTTAAACTATTGAGAGATCGATTTAGGGCTCTGGAAAAGCAAAATTATAGTAATTACATAAATTCAGTTAAGAAGTCTTTGAAGGACAACCCAAAAATGTTCTGGTCATTTATTAAATCAAAATCTAATATGAATGACATTCCTAGTAGTATGAATTTTGAAGAATCTACTCTTAATTCCGGAAATTCCATCTGTGATTCGTTTTTAAAATACTTTCACTCAAATTTCTTATACAGCCCAGCATCTCAAACGACTTCTTGTGCAGGCGTTTCTACTCCGACTGTTGCTGATATTTCTAGTATAAAAGTGGATGTTGGTAGTATATCTAGACTTCTCTCACAACTTTACCCCGCGAAGTCAACCGGTCCTGATCTACTTCCAGCTCAATTCCTCATCCGCTGCTCTGAGACTCTAGCTGTACCAACTTCCATTTTATTTAATAGATCTTTGGTCGAAGGCACGGTACTAAAGCTGTGGAAGCGTGCTTACATTACACCTGTCCATAAAAAAGGCTCCAGAACGGACATTATTAACTATAGACCAATTTCAAAGTTGTGCATTATTTCTAAGGTTCTTGAAAGGGTAGTTTACGACCAACGTTATTCAGCGCTCAAGCAATCATTTAGTTTCGCTCAACATGGTTTTTTGAAGGGGCGTTTCGTTGTGAGTAATCTGGTATTGTTCAACGATTCTTTGACTGCACATATGGATAATGGCCGCCAAGTTGATGTCGTATACACGGATTATAGCAAAGCATTTGACCGGATTCGTCATGATTTGCTTGTTTGCAAATTACAGAAGATCGGAACCAATGGCGATCTGCTGAGGTGGCTGACATCGTACATCAACAATAGGTCACAGGCTGTTGTTGTTAAAAAATATGTTTCTGGGTGGCTTATGGTGCCTAGTGGAATTCCTCAGGGATCTTTGCTCGCGCCTCTCCTGTTCGCGATTTTTGTAAACGACATCGAGCTATGTTTTAAATCATCACAACTTTTGTGCTTTGCGGATGATATGAAAATTATAGCGCCTATTTCTTCAGTGTCTGACGCAATCCTGCTTCAAGAAGACCCAATGAGGCTCGACACTTACTGCGCCGATAACCATCTTGACCTTAATCCATTTAAGTGCAGCGTCGTCACTTTTAGCTGCAAAAGTAACTTAGTGCATTTGAATTATTCTTTGAGAGGTGCTGAATTGCAACGTGATACTGTGGTATTGGATCTGGGTGTGCTTCATGATAATAAGTTATTATTTGCTTCGCATGTCGACACTATTATTTCAAAAGCCTCCAAAGCTGAACTGAACGGATTTGTGATGCGTAACTCCAGGGATTTCAGGCAGGCTAAAATACTAAATATTTTATATTGCTCATTTGTCCGCAGCCACCTGGAATATGCATCGCAAGTCTGGAATCCCCAATACCTTACCTATATATCAAGAATTGAAAATGTACAAAAAAGATTTATTAATAGGAAATGAAACTATTTTTCCGGATTTAAATCGCGTATATTTGTTTTTTCAAACAAACCGACGTTTCGGGCCCTTTAGAGGTCCCATGGTCACGGTTGACTCTGAAGATTTATTAAGTTTTTATGTTTTCGAACTGGGGAGCGATACGAGTCAAATCAGTATCTGAATATATGCAAGAAACATCATCTTTTGCGACTGGAGATGCGGCGTCAGATTGCTGATCTAGTGTTTTTGAAAAAAATTGCTTCTGGTGCCGTTGACTCCCCGGAACTCGTATCCAAGATTTCTCTTAGGGCCCCTGCAAAGACCCTTAGGTTTAATTCACCTCTGTGCGTACCTCTGGCCTCTTCAAACTTTCGGCGGAATGCATATCTCATGCGTGCGAGTAATAGTTTCAATGCATTGTCCAAGCAGGTTGATATTGACCTTTTTAACACTAGTGTTGCATCGGTGAAGCGTCTTATTAGTGGTTTGATTTTTGGCGAGTAGCTAATTGTTGTGTGTGCGATTATGTCATTACCTATATAGTATAATTATTAGTTATATAGTTATAATGTATAGCTCTTTAATTAACTTAATGTGTGTAATAATACACACACACACACACACACACACACGCGCGCGCGCGCGCACGCACGCACGCCCGCACGCACGCACGCACGCACACACACACACACACACACACACACAGACACACACACACACACACACTCAGACACACACACACACACACACACACACACACACACACACACAGAGACACACACAGACAGACAGACACACACACACACACACACACACACACACACACATACACACACACATACATTATATGATTATTGTATTAAACATATATAATACACTGAAGAACAGAATACCAAAAACTTAGATGATTTAAAATTAGGGGACTTGGGGCCCCGAATGGCACTGCAACTGTCGTGGATAGTCTTGTCGCTTAACCACCGGGCGCATGTCTTGTACGTCCCGTCGCTTGGTAACATATAAAAAACATATCGTTATGATTGTTTATCAATAGACAGGTCGACGGTTCGAATCCTTGTGGCATCAGTGTGCAAGGGAGAAAGAGGTCTTCTCTCCCTCTCTTGCACACTGATGACACTCCCTCTCCCTCAATACAATAAAAGTTAACAGATATAAATAAGAAAATACCGACACTCACCTACATACTAAATATTATGAACGCATAGATTATATAGCACATATTATTTATTATTATATTATTTATTATTTTTTATTATACATTATAATAAATCACGTAAATACACATACATAAGCTCACGCTCTAGTCCCACAGGAGGGGTAAGCAGAGACCATGGAACGCTACTTTACTCTATTCTGACACAAGCCAACTAGCACACAAGCTGCTTAAATAACTTCTGTATAACCTAAAAGTTGTATATTAGCTGTTTAAGGGATTTATTATAGTACTTAAGTGCTCAAAATTAATTAAACAGGCTAGTCGTACAATAGCCGTACAACGGTAAAATTAATCCTAAGAGAGATAGAAAGACTAGTCATAGAGCTATTGTATGGGCATTTGATGTAAAGCAGACTTATAAATACCTTTCATAACTCATCACATGCAGCCTCACATACATCTGCTACCCTTTTCATACGACTTCCTTTATTTTTGTTATTTCGGATCCCAGCCTTTTTGAAGACATCACTGATCTGGTCAATGTAAGTCCTTCTGAGATGTCCTCTTAAAACCATTACATCCAAAAATATATAAAATACACATAATAAGAAGGTTATAACATGGTATAAAGAGAGTTTAGCAATATATCAAACTGCAAAGCAAATAACCAATATAGGTATATAAAAATTGTAAAATTCAAAGACGAAACTTGTCTTGTGTAAACAATCGTAAGCATTGATTCACCCATATAAACTGCAATGTTGGATCGATTTTTAAAGCAAGAGCAACACGGCAACCCGTATTATCACGCTTGATTTATATTAAAAATATTGGCAACAATCGCCACAGTAAAAGTTTTGTAAATTTATTAATCCAACGAAACAGGTAAACGATTGAACTATGGAAGGGCAAGCTCAAGCTCCACCAGCTCCAACTATAATAGGCCGGAAGGAATCCACAGATCCAGTAAAAGCGCAAGGAATTTTGTGAGTTTCAGTTTGTTATGAAAATATTAGTTCCTCTGCTGTCTGAGGAACACTACCACGTTGACAAGTCCCATGTGACTGTAATTCCATCAGTACCCTTACCCCTCGAAAACGGACCGCAGTAATGCTCGCATCAATGCTTGGCGGCAGAAACAGGTAAGGTGGCGGTAATTCCCTGGACGAACTCTTTCACAAGGAGCTCTACGGCTACAAAGCTTTATTTAACATTTGTTTATATGTACATCTTACTATTTCGATATGTATAGAGTAGAGTAATATACTCATATGTAGAGCTTTTCACATAGAATAACTACAGCGTAGCAAGACGCTACGCCGCCCCTAACTTACACACTACTACGATAGAATTGTCATAAATATATCAAGGATAACCTTCATTTTATTTGAATGTGAGGACCGCAGTAGCCCGGTGATTAATTTCCTGGTAGGATCAATTTAGGAAACGACCTTTCTGTATAGGTTCTGATCTGCGTGTACTGGGTAGTACCCTGATGAAGATAACTTCGTTATTCTAGTACTCGTAGCACAGGGAATTTCCTAGTTAGCCTGAGGTAATTGGTATGATTGTCTGGTAGGTACATTATTTTTAATAAATAAGATTATAGTGTTCCAAAATAGAAGCTTAAACAGTTTCAAACATCGCTAAATTTTTATTATTATTACACCATACAAAAATTTGTGTCATAAAAAATTCAATATGGAACATAAATATATCCTCCACATTTACTGGCACAAAGACGTAATTAAAATACAACTTTACCATCAGGAAAGAGGTGTCTCGTAAAAACAAAACCGCGGCGCGCCTGTGGCCGCAGCGATGGGATTTCTACACACGGATCCGAGAGATTCAAGAAGAAGAAGCGTTAAAAAAGGGTATAAAAACAAATTACTGTTGGCAAATGCCAGGGTTTGGACAGAATATAATAATACAATAATTAAATTTCATTAACCGTTAAATAAGAATTCTCATTGGATATATTTTGTTGGGTAACTTTAAAATTAATTTATTTAATACTTTGTCGGGTAACTTTAAATTTAAATTTTCTAAAACATTACTCGACGACTAAGTAAAAAATATTCTCAACACTCACATGAAATTCGAAATATTTATTTATAATGTATATTATTGTTACTTTATGGTTGTTTTATTTTCACAGGATATACGTTGGAAGAGTACAGAGCCGCTGTTCAATCTCGAAGCTGCAAGCTTGAACCCACGACATACCCCGTGGTGGTGGATCCTTCGCCATCGCCTATTCCGCCCACGTCTTCTCGTAATCCATTTACTTACTTAACAATTTAGACAACACACACACGCATTTATACCTCTATAATGAGAAAGCAGGCCGCTTCTCTTCTTCACCGTGTGCTTGGTAGCCACAACAGCATATTGGTAACCCTCGTAAATTTATTCGGTAGTCCCTTGCTGTGGCATCTGATAAAAATGGTCATAGCCGAAAATTACGTAATTTTATGTAATGTAATTTAATCTAATCTATTGTACCGAAATTTGAATAAGTTCTAAATAATAATGGCTGAATCTTACTAACAAATTATGGACAATTATTTTTCCGAAATAAGTTTCATTATTATTATCTTTTACTTCAGAACTATCATAGTAATAAGGGCAACTCCCGCCGGTTGGGTGTGTAAATGACTACACTTCGTTGTTGCGTTTTTATTTCAGGTGTATCTACAGGTTGTAAATATAATCCCCCGTATTCTCGTGTCACATTGAAAGAACCTCTGCTAAATGCAGTAGGTACAGTCAAGAGCACATCAAGCTTAACACTTTGTACTTTGGTCTGTTCTTACCATTACGGCATAAAGCTGGATTTCAGTCTTAAGTGTAAAGTTTGACATGCTCTTGACCCTGTACTTAACTCTATGCCGCTTACGATCAGTCCAAACTGTCAAGCTTGACGTGCTCTTGACTGTACGTAGAAGAGTGTACTGTATTCAACTTAATTTATTAGGTCGCTGAAGTAGAAAACTTTCGTGGTTTCGGGGCTTAAGTATATTCTAAGTTCAAACTTTGTAAATACTTATTATGAGAGTTTGTTACCGAGAAAATAATTTTAGGATACTTACTCGTATTAGTTTGATAAAGCTAAGCGATTTCTAGAAAATATAAGGCTGTTGTCTCTGCCTATCCCGATTGGAAAAGTGCGTGAAATATAGGTAGAAGAAGAAAAGATTTTTTTTCTTTCTTTCTTAGTGATACTTACTCGAGATAAAGTTCTTATTAGTAAATCTTTTGATTTATAAATCTACTATAATACATATTTTATAATAAATCTTCAATTCCTACATACGAATAAAGCACCGCATATTTTCCAATAGTGTGAAGACCCCGCATTGGGCCGGCGCGCGGCGTGGCGGATTATGGCCCTCGGCTGCAGGAGACCCGTGCCCAGCAGCGGGCCGTTGATAATGATATTTTCCAATAGGTGTAACTAGTGTTGGGTTATGGTAATATTCCCATTTTAAAAATGCAGAGAAATATTTTTCCGAATATTTTTCGTATTCTTCCACATTTGACACCTGTCAAAAGTTGAAGATACTAAACGAAAACGATGGAGCCACTATATTTTTTGCCTGTGATTAACTTTTCGCTGTTGTCCAATAATTTAGTTTTATTCCAACTTGCCTTTAACTATACAATTTTATTGTATAATTCACACTTAACAAAACTTCAAAAGATATATCTAAACCATGAACATAATATGAGCCTTCGAATTATATTTTTCCAATTTTTCAAATTTTTTTCCGGAAAAATTTCCAATATTATAATTTTTTTCAGAAAATTACCCAACACTAGGAGTAACTGAAACGATGTGCAACGACGTCTCCCCTTGTAAAATATATTAAGCTTTACTGCGAGTTCTAACACGCCAAGTGTTAAAATTAAGTCAAGCCTTACTCCTCTTTGGAGACTACGTTCAGAGCTGGAGTGTCATTATTAATATGATTATGTGCATTGCAGGAATGATCGGGCGCCGTGCGCAGTGTCCCTTAGAGCGGTACGGGCTACTGGTGATGACTCCGCGGGACTATCCCACGCGGCCGCCGCTGCCGCCGGGACAGGTCTACGATCCTTACAAGCAGACTATGATGTTCTTAGGGTACGTCACCTTAGTGTTTTACAACATTTTTAAACATTTATTATATAAAGTACCTGTATAACAAATTACACACGTACACACTCATAGCCCATCCCTAGGGAAATCCTGTGAATTAGTTGTATATCAAAGAATAACTCATTTCAAAGTGGCACTGTTCGAGATGATTTTTTTTATAATATCAAGTGAAGGGACGAACAAGTCTTGAGCCTGATGGTAAGCACGCACGCCTGTCCGTAACAGTTGCAATGCCACTCAGAGCTTTAAATCGCAAACATCTGATGGGCAGTGCCACTGCGCCCGTCACCCTGAGACATATAGTGACACCCATGTTCCTGTAATTTCACCAGCACCCTTATCCTTCAAAACCGGAACACAGTAATGCTAACATTACTGCTTGGCGGCAGAAATAGGTATGGTGGCAGTATTTTCATGGACGAACTCTTTCACAAGGAGCTCTACTGCTGCTAAAAATGCTGAATTTGATTATTCGATATAATGAGTGGCTACAGGGTCCTGGCAGAATACCAGAGTCGCAGGCAACCGCGTATTTTTTTTATGTTTAGCCAACAATATATGACTTACAAAAAGATGCTTTTGTAATTACTGTGTTCTATGTAATTTGTGTATATCTTGTGATGGAGATGCGGTATAGCACGGCACCGCAGTAGGCGGACCGACAGCCAGCTGAAAATAGCTGGAAGCGATGCAATAAACCTGTGCTCAGCTGTTCACATAATAATAAATCATTCCCTTGGTGTAACAAAGCTACATGCAATATATACATATATATGTACTATATGTATATGTATATGTATATATATGTACTATATGTATATATATATATATACATATAGTACTTTTGACGTATTATATATACATATATAATACGTCAAAAGTACTTTAATCACACGAAAGTCATAAAAGTAATAAGAACACAACAAGAAAAGTAAAACAAATTATGTAACTATAGGTATACGATATGTTATGTCGACTAATTTCATTCGTAGAATCTTAAAGCCTCTCTCCTGAACAGTTACAATTTTACTACACCAACGGTAACGAAACTGTGAGCTACTAAAAACTCCACCCTTTTTTTTTTAATATTTGAGCTCTAAAACAAAAATACATATTAATTAAGATTGTAATTAGATCGGTGACAGGTGATCCGATATCGTACAAGCTGCCACCGGTGACGAACGAGGTCACTGATGAGATGTGGACGAGGCCGAGGCACCTTGCTGTCGCGCAGTTCAACGAGGACGCTCTAAACAAAGCACTTCAATCTTATTAAATGCTGAGTCTGCGTTTCACCATTCTGATGTCAACTCTATCGTGCAGAGAGCCTGCCCAAAGTTCAACCCTACGACAGTCGATTGCATGTTCTTATACTTACGTAAAATACTTTTAATAGATAAGCTAAAACAAAGTAATAAATATCAGATATGAGGTAGAGCACGTGAAACTTTATTACATTAAGAATTCAAATCTTAATTTAAACAATATTTCAAATTAATATACGAGTATATTGAATATTGTTTTAGTTCTTAATTCATTAGGCCGGTTTTTTTATGATAACTACTGACGGGACGAATAAGAGCTATGCCACACGGGCGTTGCGTCGTCGCAAACACTTTGATTTCAACGTACTAACTTGCGCAACGTCATAAGTCATAACGCAATGTCGTCGTCGCAACGCCGACGCAAAGCATCGTGTGGCATCGCTCTAAGTCTGGTGGTAAGCGACACGCCTGTCGATAGCAGTTGCAGTGCAGAACTTTAAAAATCACAAAGATGTGAGGGGCACTGCTGCAGCAGCAGTGCCCCGCATTGCCATGACACGTGCATTTTTTTATGTAGAAAGAGTTATACTTACCTAGGTAAGTCATTGTCTATACGTACCTAAGGTAGGTATATAATTTGTTGATTGTTGGCAGAGGAGTAAATACCTATTTTTTTCGGCGAGCACGGAAGAGTTATATATAATCTCAGTACAGAGTACTAAAAAAACCGACCTCAAAAGTACGTGGAATTACATCTATAAAAATAAAAAACGAGGAGGTTCTCAATTCGACTGTTTTTTTTGTATATATGTTACGCGATAACTCTGGTATTTGTGAACCGTGAAATTTTGAAGAAAATCATCCACCTCTAAGGGTGGCTGTCCACGCATGAAGATTCATTTTTATAAATAGCGCCTAAATTTTATTATAAGGTTTATAATGGTTGATTTTGCTATTCTCCAATTCAAGGCGTTTTTCTCTCAATATACTTTGAGTGGTGAGAACCTATTTTTATTATCTCCTGCGACAAGTTCCGTATTGTGGCGAACTAGGGGATGAACCCGGGTTTGCCCACTTTCCGGTAACCGATTTCAATAAAACTTGGCAAATAGATATAATTCCACTTACTTTTGAGTTCGATCTTTTTAGTACTGAGATTATTAGTAACACCGTATCTTAAATTAAAATTACTATCCCTTCATGTCCCATAGCTGTGTTGCGCCATAAACTGTAACTAATATTCTACAAATTTTAATGAACTAAAACCTAAAACTCAGTGTTGCCAGACGGTTACATTTCCTAAAATTTTTGTGACTTTTGACGTTCTCTCGTAATCTGTAATTTTTGTTCCAAGTAATTTTCATAACTTTTGAGGACGTTGATTTTTTTTTAATTAAACTGTTTTTATTATAGTAAATCTTGCACTATTTTACGTATGCACCCAAATTAGACAATAAAGTAACTCAGATGGCGCAAATAAAATGAAATCATTGAATTACTGGTTACACCTTGATTTTTCTTGAGCGTACTTAATTTTTAGGTTTAGACGTATAAAAACGAATTTGTAAAATGTAACTTTTCAGGTAACGAAACGTAATTTTCGACTCACGGGAAACACTGTTAAAACTAATATGAGCACAAATAAAAAACTCTTTATACTGAAATTTCTTTTTATTGTTGCTATTGTCTGCCCTGCCAGCTACTGACTTGAACAGGAGCGGGCAGCTGCGATACGATGTTCTCAGGTGGTACTTCGACCATCACAGCCTCGTCGTCTTCCAGCCAGTGGAATCCTGCTAAGTACTGCCCAACAAAAAAGTCTATCTCGGATAGCGATTCATAACAGAGATCCATAGAGAGCATATTATATTTTAACGTAACCGAGAGCTATAAATAAAAACAATGCCAAAAGTTGGACCTATTCTAGACAACAAAGTTAGATCGCTATTAGCGCTATTGTATTACTTATTTCATGCAGAAGATCATAAACCAATAAAACAAGAAGGCTTGTGAAGAATTAATATTAGTGTGTGACATCACACTAAAAATCTTATTAATACTGGGTGGCGCTAAAAATCCAAGTGCATCTCACTTCTCACTTGAGGTCTAATGTGCAATTATTTTTTTTAACAAAAAAAAAATTACATTACGTAAACTGTGGACGTACAAGCATCGCTTAATATGACTAGGATTTATTATGACTATCTTGTTTTGTAACAAGATGTGGTTGTTAAACATAAACAATAACATAAAAATGAAATGAATTTACCTTTACTGGTATAACTTTGACCATCACATGTTTTACAAAGTCAGGGTTCTTCTTTGCGTTCGGCTCCTCGTTTTCTTCCTGATACAATAACAATAGTTCCAATTATTGATTCAAAGATCGAATAAATAGAAAAATTTCCTTCAATCTGACTGGACCAGCGTCCATTGCCTCACCGTGGCTATTACTATATCGAAGGGATTTTTCTTTGTGTTTGTTCCATCTTTGTATCAATAATAATAGCAAACTAGTGGAGTATTGTCGCAAAAAAGTATATGAATATCATGGTAGCAAAAACATCATGACGTTCAATAAAATCAACATTGCAATAGCTTTAATGTCAATTATACATTTTTAACACGGGCTGAATCTTTGTGGCAAGATGTGAGAAATTTCCGATTGAGGACGCGTTTAGTTCAAAACGGATTCTTTTTTCTTTTAGCAAATTTTGTTCTTTTTGTCCTTTTCATGATTAATGTCTCAAAATTCGTAATATCTAAAATAAAACAGCATGTATAAGAATAGCGAGTGATCAAATACGGCAGAGTAAATTTAAGTAATATAAATAAACCATACCGTGGATAATCCTTACCTCTGGAATTTAGGTGCATAGACGACAAGATAAATACAGCGTAGCAGCCAGTTTTTTAAAAAGTTACCTGTGCGGTTCTCCCCAATGTCCATAGCGATGTTCCATCCTGTATGACGAGTGCATCCCTTCGCGGATGCACGGTCACCGACTCGACGGCCGCAGTGCGGTTATGCCATATTCTCGGCATTGATCTAGCATCCCACCCCATCACTTTCTTGTTTACTAGGTCGAATTCTAGTATCTGTTGACGAAAAATATATTCATATTAGAAACACATTGGAAAATAACTTTTTTAATAAATATTAATACACAGAGCAAACACAGAAAAAATCCTTCTATGTTGGTGGATCCAAACCAGCGCCTTCAGCATACCGGGCCTGACATGGCCAACTGAGCCAAGGAACGGAAAAAAATATATTAATAATTATAAAAAAACTAGCAGAGTTAATTTCACAAAAATAATTAAATATCATGGTACTAAAACAAAGTGATAATTATTAAACTTAATATTAAACAATTTTCGGATCTTAATAGCGTATATTTGTTTTTTCAAACAAACTCAAAGTCGAAGTCGAATAATCATTTATTCCATAGGTAACACACTTGAAAACGTCATTTTTCTAAACTTCTCGTTCACTACCCTGACCTCCCTGAGAAGAACGAGCAGGAAACTCTACGGATTGCTTTTTTATAATAATTATAATTAATAATAACGCACACACTCAACTTACCTTCGCACTAGGGAAACCCTGTGTCTAGGGTGCCACGGACACACACATAGACAATCACAAATTACACCCTAACTCACGAGAGAAATAAATGTAGGCCATACAAATACTTCTCCCGGCCCGGGAATCGAACCTGGGAACTCTGCGTGGCAGTCTGACATGGTAACTGTTCGGCTACGGAGGCCGTTCAGTTTTCAAAGAAACTTAAATGCTATAGAATAATACTTTGAATCATAATTGTGTGATCTTTATTCAATTAAAATACTTTTAATGTAAGTTTTAAACTTAGGAAATGATAACCTTAATATATGCTCTTAATATTGTAAAAACGTATACAGTTCCCACCTTAGTCAAACGAAATCGTGGTACGAGTACCATGAGTTTGGTCTTAGTTCTAAGTTTAATATTATGGATATTATCTTCTTTCTTAAATAAATTATGTATATGTTTATGGGCATACAAAATATTTGAGTAAATGTAATGTGTTCACTGGTCCATTGGTCAGCGTTAAGAATAGGCAGTAGTACTTGTTAATATGTTGTATTTTATTTCTTATTTTAAGTAATTAATAAATTTAATTTAGTAAACATTCATATGGTTAAAATATTTTGCAAAAAGCATGTGCATAAATTGGAATTTTCTTTGGTAAAAGAAAAATAAGGTCTTCAAGTTCATAACGTTGTAACTTCGTATATATAACCAGGAACAGAGACGAAATAAGGGTCATCCATCCCTGGCAACTCATCAGGTAAATGGGCCTTATAGCACTTTTAAATATCAACTCTCATTTGCGCTGAAATCACAAATTAGAAAACTGAAATAGTACAGCGCCAACAACTGACCTGTGTGTACGTCTCCATATATTCCAAAAATATTCTGTATTTATTGTAATAAAGGTAATATCTCTAACAATGGGAGGCTGTTCCATACGGTGGTGTGGTACAAAACAAACGGAATCACATTTCATCGGTAATTAAACATTAAACATGTAATTTCTCAATTTTCGTCCATTATAGCAAAGCTCAAGTTAAACTGGTCGTTATGAAGTGAACAATTGACCTTCAATTGTTTCGAATTCGGGCTTGTCAATCGGAGTGCATTTGTCACCGTAATGAATTTGGCAGAATAATTTTAAAGCATATTAAATGACATTTCGTCTCTATTTCTGGTTATGTATTCGATGTTTTGTAACTGTAATTAAAATGTTAATGACTTTACTATCTCAGTCAGCCGTGACCATTGGACCTGTAAAGGTCTCAAACCGCTGTTGATTTATTTGAAAAAACAAATATACGCGATTTAAATCCCAAAAAATTGTTTCATTTCCAGTATAACAATCGCCAAAACCTAAGAATTCGATTAGAAACATGTACCATAGAAATAAATCTAATAACAGTTTTAAAACAATACTTACTCTCTGATTAGAGTAAATGACAATAAGTGTCTCCCTCTCAGGATCCACGGTCATAGCAGTGGGAACGAATTTATATTTGGGTAGTAGCGTGTAGTTGCTGAATTTCTTTTTCTTATTGTTATTGGACAGCACTTGAATCATGGAACAACTGTCTGATACAACAACATAAGTTGTGCCTGATTTACACTGCTTGGAAACCAGTAGATGCAGGATAGATGATGGTTCGGGTTTACCTGTAATTTGATTTTATTTTGTTATAAAAGATTCTGCTGTAAAAATAAAAAAGACAGGGCTCTTTCACTAGATGGCGCCACCTGTAATCCTGAACAAACCAATAACTCAGCTCAAGTGACGCCTCCAGGGGCACCTCCCTGTTAATTCTTATTCATCAAATCGTCTTTGAAAATGAATTAAACGCTTCCGAAAATGAAGCAAACAAATCCGCCAATGTATCTTAACCTAACAAGTAAATTATCAGTGTCAGCTGTGCTGTGATACTTATGGTCATTTATATGAACTTAAAATGTAATGTATACTCACATACATATGTCTGTGTGTATACTGGTACTAGATGACGAGTGGCAGTGTACGGTAAAACCAAAACCGTACACTGCGAAACATATGTGAACTTTGTTATTATATGTATAATAAGTAAATAAATACCTATAATAGTTCAAAGTTGTAGGCATTTTTCTTTCTCATTAAACACCATAGTTAAATGACGGTGGTTCTTTTTTGAGAACATTATTTTACATACCTTTTGAAATATCCACAGAATATAGAACAGTTGCGCCTGCCTCCGGATCAGCATGTAGCACATATAACTCCTGACTATCACAACATGCAATTATAGTTCGGGAGTCCTCTGTAAATGCCACTCGAGTACACGGCCCGGGAAGACCAGTGATTATCACTTTTGATAGAGAAATATTTGATTGGTCATCTTCACTATCATCCTATAAAAAATAATACCACTTATAAAACTATGTATGATACCTCCTATATTACATTTGCAATTTTAACAAAGTAAAATGGATTTTTTACTTTTAAGCACTAGTTCTTTAATCAGGACACATTCTATTTAACAAATTTTAATATTTGATAAGGGGAACTGTTCAAATTACAAAGTGTGTGGAAAACCTGATTGTATACATAACTCATGAAGTGTGTCCGGCTGAATCTATCAGGGTGCAGTAATTTGAACAGTTAGTTTTGGTACATTTCACGCAGTTTGGTTTCAATCCGTTTCGTCTGAGCCAATAATTAGTGCCGCAGAGTTTATATACATGTTTGGTTAGGTAGTATTTTGATTTAATCTCTTTGGATTCTATCAGGTGTTTTTTCTTCAATATATTGCTTTTCTATTAGGGCTGACATGTCCAATAATGATCAAAGCCCTAAATAAATAAAGAGTAAAAAACAAGCACTATTTGATTGCAAATATTGACAAATTAAATGCCAAAATACTTACTGTTTCCAATTTCAGCAACCTAACATCAGAAGCAGTGGCATAAATAATAAATTCTCCACTTGGGGACAGCTCACAGCACTGAATCTGCTTGCCCTTCTTAGTGTTTATAGATACCAGTTTTAAAGGATTGTCAGTAATGTTTAACCGCTTTTTGTCACAATTTTTAGTTAACCCATACATTGCTGCAATGGTAGAATCTTGTTCAAGTGCATGAGGATCTTGTTTTTCATGCAAACCATTTTGTTCAACCTTAGTAATCTCATGGCCACCTTTCGAATCATACGATCCTAGTTTCCAAACATCTACATGATCGCTGTATCTGTGATACATGAAAATTATTTATCAATAAAAGGTTCCGAAATAAAATCTAATTTTCAAAATGGAAGCATAACACGAATAAAAAATTGTTGAAACATTTCCAATAACTTCAGCATTCAAGCATAATGACAAATACACATTTAAATAAGGACTAAGACTTGTAGAATAGGGTTTTTCATAGGTGTGAACTGGCATCACACAATGGTATGACATTGTGCCATACCATTGTGTGATGCCAGTAAGCCACAGTAAATGGTAGATGTGTTATTATTAATTACCGCAGAATTAAAAGTTTTTTTCGTGGACATACTGAAGACCTAGGAGTGGGCGTGATGGGAGGAATCCTCATTACCCACTTGGGAGGGTAACTGGAGAACGTAAGATAACCGTCCACTCCAGTTGATATTAATACATTGCCCTTGATGACCAGAGATCTGAAAATAATTTGCTAATACTTTTTATTTTATTTATTGAGAAAACCAACGACGTTACATAATGTATTTTACAATAGTACAAATTGATTATACATTATTATTATAATACTACTAAAATTTAAATATCAGACTATAATTCCAAGTTCTTTCTATGCAGTTGCCGCCTACCACGTCTCCATAGAGAAATATCAACAATGTACTGACAAAATTCAATTATTATAATTTACATTGTATATTTATTTTATATCGAATCAATATAAACGCTTTGGCACAAAGTAAAAAAAAGAGATATTTTTGTCTGCAGTACTATAAGTATATACTTGTGTAAGTACTCTCCATGAACAGGTTAAGTACATACTTGTATATGGGCCCAGTAAGCCAGCTCATGACCTGGCAAAATAAAAACATACCATGACAAAATTTAATTGATATAACATTATGTATATATGTATACAAACCTGACATCATGTTCATGTATGTGCCTTTGAACATTCTTAACCCACTGTGATTGGCTGGCTTGTCCTCCTTTGGTGACTTTAACAAAATGAGTAATTGTAGGGTCCATGCCACTGCAGTATAAACTGTGTTCATCATCGGATACTGCTATGGATAGTACATCTGCTTTGTGAGTTGCGAAAGATTCAATCTGAAAAGTGTTAAATAGCAGGACCTTACCTTACTTCTGCCCAGTGTCTGATAGAAATTGTTGTTTGTGAATGATAGTGTAATAAAATTTCATAAACTCAACTTCTTCATTACATGTACAACACAAAAAGACGTTTGTATTGTATATGAAGCAGAATCGAAGAGAACAATATTTTAAAATACTTCTAGGCCACTACTATAAAGCAATATTTTACCTGTTCCCCATGAGTACTGTCCCAAAAAGTAAGTCTACCATGACTATCCCCAGATACAATGGTTTTGTCAGAAAGCACAGCAATACTCCAAACGATGACCTCTTTCTTCCTCCTACTGACCGATATGCGAGTCATTGCATGTCCTGTGTCCACATTCCACACTCTTATAGTGTCTATTGAACCTAAAAATAAACAGTTGGTACGTTACAATGGTACAGTGCGTTGGTACAGTTAAATATCATTTATATAGAGAACAAATCTTTACAAAACATAATTGAGTTTATTTAATGTATAATCAACAGCAAGCTCCTCCTTACACTCAAGAGTCATCTCTACTACTTATAACAAGAACGGTCTAAAGCAGCCTTTCCCAAAGTGGGCGATAACGCCCCCTTGTGGGCGCTGCAGACCTAAAGGGGGGCGGTAAGAGACCCAGAAAAAAATGGGGGCGTTGTGTAGAGGCTTAGAGGGAGATTCCTAATTTCATCTAGGAAGACTCTCAGGGTCGTATTCTAGAACTCTACTCAAGTAGTGAGAGTAGAGTTCTGGAATACGACTCTCAGACACCGACTGAGCTCTCGACTCTCCACTACAACTTATGAACATCTATGAACTAATATTAATTAAGAGATTGCTCAAACTAACTCGGTTCGATATTTCTCTCCGTGTAGTTCATACATCTGTCCTGTTTTATTGAATAAATAAAATAAAAATCATGTCAATCGGTCGCGCCGTTTCGAAATGAAAGTAGACACAAACAAATAAATAAAAAGGCAACAAACACAGTTTCGTATCTTAATAGTTATTAGTATTCCTAGATAAATAATTTTTCGTAGATAATAGACCGTGGGAAATCATGTTTTAACAAGTTTTTATTAAATAACCCCATTTGTGCATTTATGTATCAATCGGCTGGTTCATAGAATACTTGGTCTTTCTTGTTGAGTACGATTGAGCGTCGAATAAGATAAACGAGTTTATGCATGTTTGTGTTATTCCTGTCGGTGCATGCTGCTTATGCAATCATATATAAACAACGTAATATTTATTTTATTTTCATTTGCGGTTTCGCGGGTAATAGACAAGCAGTACTTAAGTTCAACACTTACTTACGTATTTCTCAAAACAAAACAACGTCGGAAGTAAAAAAGAAGAGACGGCAATACTGTGCGGAATATATTAAATTCGGATTCATTGAAAATCCCACAAACCCATCGTCGCCTTTGTGCTTTCAATGTCTAAAAACATTTTCGAATGCAGCAATGAAGCCTTCAACACTGCAAGATCATTTAAATAAAATGTATCCAGATAAGAAAGACAAGAATGTAGCATATTTTCAAGACCAAGAGAAGAAGCATAATACTCAGCCAAGTGTAGCAAAACTCTTTTCGGCGGCTGCTAAGCAAGATGACGACGAACTTCGAGCTTCGTACAATATCTCTTTGTTAATTGCTCAAAAAGGCAAACCATACAACATCGGAGAAGAGTTAATTTTGCCAGCAATAAAGGAAGTAATAACTACTGTGCTTCATAAACCGGCCGCAGATATTATCCGAAAAATTCCTTTAAGGAATTGATGAAATGGCTGAAAACATTGAAGAATCATTGTGCAATCATCTGAGGACTAGTCAATTCTCAATTCAGCTCGATGAGTCCACTTTACCAACTAATGAAGCATTGTTGCTGTCTTACGTGAGGTCTATTAAAGATGAGAAAATATGTGAAGAACTATTTTTTGCTAGAAATTTAGAGACCGATACAAAAGGCGAAACCATATTCAATACATTGGGAAAGTTTTGTGATGAGAAAGAGATTCCCTTGAAAAATATTATATCAGTTGCTACGGATGGCGCTCCGGCTATGACAGAGTGCCATAAAGGCTTCATAGCGTACTTAAAAAATAAAATTCCAGATGTCCTTGCTGTACATTGCATTATTCATAGATAACATTTGGTTACTAAAAATTTAAGTGAACGACTATTCCAATCACTGCAATATGTCATCAAAGCAGTCAATAAAATCCGTAACAGCTCCTTGAATGATAGATTATTTCATCAGCTTTGTGTTACTAATGACAAAGATTTCAACCGTTTGTTGTTTCATACTGAAGATCGTTGGCTATCAAGAGGCAATTGTCTGACTCATCGAAAATGTTTTTTCATTTCATGCCTTTATGTCTCTGGCAGCCTTATTAAATTTTGTTTTATCTGCAGAAGTCTACTTGTTTGCCATTGTCTTCATAGTCTCTTATTTGCTACCATAGATCAAATTTTCAGTGGTGGGTTGTTGAGGTCTTGGTGGCCCTCGAGACCTGGGGTGGATTTCCATGCCGCTTCCTGGAGTTTCTTGGTTGCGTAGAATGTAGCTTCATCTATGTCGCCCTCTGTTTTCAATCTAATTTTTGGATTTGTTTCCGATCCTAAGGTATTTCTAAAGGCGTGCCAATACGTTTTATAATTGTATAGAGCAGAGACATAGCAGAGAACAAAAAAGTAACGAGAATGAACACTCTCCGCCCCTCCCTAGCCTTAGATACCGCACCATGCCGCGCACATTAACGGTCACTTTGACAGAACGGCAACAAGGCTGTCGGCGAGCCGTTTTCGCGCTAAGACGGTTTCGACATCTTAATATAGTTTTCATATATTCATTACGAGTATTGTACGTTAATAACATCATTGTACGTTACTATTTATAATGGTCATGAATAGTGCTGTGTACGGCTGTTTATCATCATCTAAACGGGATAAAGAGAGGAGTTTTTTCGTTTTCCGAAAGATGAAACGAGGCAAGCAAAAAAAACTTATGTCGAGGACTCATTCAGTTATTGTTTTCTTCACTTATTTAGTGCAGAGTAATATATAATACAGATTTATTACGTAAATGTAATGAGATTAACATAGTAGACAAGGGTTCTCGAATTTTCAGTTTGTATTGCCGAAAAATATGTAGTGAATGATAGTAAGTAATGTTAAATTTGGACACGCAATTTCAAATACCTTGGTTACTTTTTTAAAAAGTACCCTTCCAAAATATAACATTTAGGTGCTTTTAAATTTATTGTTTTAAATAAACCTTCAGGATTATTCAAGAAGTAAATTAATGAAAAATATAATATTATATTGATATTAAGTACCTAATGAACATATGCAATTATTAGGATTCTATTAATACAATTATAGATAATAGATTCGATTCGCTTAGAAGATAGAAATTTCGCTATGTTGCTGCTCTGATTACGTACGAGTAAGTAATGGGTAACCCTGCCACATCACGTACACATTTGCGCGTGCGCAGATAGCGCCTTGATAGGTAATTAACTTTCGACCGTTGTATGGAGTGTCCGGTGTGGCATAGAGTAAAATATTTTTCTTTATATATAGGGGTTGCGCTGAATGTCCCTATTATTGGCACGTGATCAGATGTTGTATCCAAGCAAGACTCTATTGCAAAGTGTGGTAATCCCTTTATTATGAAAAAGTCCAGTAAGTCAGGTATTTTATTATTGACTGCCGGCCAGTATGTTGGTTCTGCTGAGGATAATGTTGTTAACTTGAGGTTGCCAACACGTTTGTGTAACTCACGTCTGCGTGCATTTGTCAACCTTGATCCCCAACTCATGTGCTTGCTGTTGCAATCTCCACCACTTATTTCCTAAGCTACTGAAGTAATGTTTGAACACATATGTTTTAGTATTATGTCGTGGAGGGTAATCTACTGCACTTACATTAATGGGGTCAGTTCTACTCTCTACAGTGACGGTGGTTGCTTGTAAATAAGGGTGGAGTTCACTTTCCGAATTTCAATGGCACTTTTTGACATTTTTGTAGACTTTTTCTTTTGGTTTTAAGGTCTTAAACGTACTAATGAGTAAACAATATCAATATTATTAAATCACATAAATATTTAAGTAAAATACAACAAAAAACGATATTTTAGGTCACATGAATGAGAATGATTTCCTCAAAAACATAAATGAGACTGATGGCACAGTTATGAGAAATTATAATTACAATACACATTTTATTATTCACAAAAGAATATTTAACATGTCTCATCTGTGTAAGGCCATCTATCTATCTATATACTTATTTTGTACACGTCGGCTTATAAATAACTTGTTTTCACAAATAAATGAATTATTATTGTTATTATCTATATGTAATAAATAAATCTAAATAAGTATTTTGTTAATGTCATATAAACTTTAATGAACCTCGATATATCATCATCACCATCATCATGATCGCCATAATCATCAGCATCATTATCATTCACATTATCATCACTACAATCATCATCACCACCATACAATCATGAACATAGCCACCATCATTGTCGTCACCATTACCACATTCATCGTCATTAACACCACCATCATCATCATCGCCATAACCACCATCATCACCACCATTATCATATTTAAAGTGAATGTTTGGTTTAAAGTAACTATTTGACTTAAAAGTAGACAAGAATGAGGGCAACAACAAATTAAACCCAAACTCATGAGAGAAATAAATGTAGGCCATACAAATATTTCTCCCGGCACAGGAATCAAACCTGGGACCTCTGCGTCGCAGTCATGGTAACCGTTCGGCCACAGAGGCAGTTAACATAATATATATATACACACATTTATAGGGTAATTGTCTAAGTTGTACAATATTCTGGACTGTTAAAAAAGTGCACAAATTTTAAAGTTCCCTGTGTCTAATTGATGCACAATAAAGTTTATAAGACTATTACATAATACTTATTTAGATAAATTACTCATTACTTTCATGAATGAGAACGATTCACTAGCATTGATCTAACTGCCTCCATGGCTGAACAATTACCAAGCCAGACTGCAACGCAGAGGTTCCAGGTTCCATTACCAAGCCCAGGACAAATATTTGTATGGCCTAAATTTATTTCACTTGTGACTTTGAATGTAGTTTCTGATTGTCTATGTGTGTCCATGGCACCCGCGACACAGGGTTTCCCTCGTGCGGGGCTATGTTGAGCGTGTGCGTTATTTTATAAAAAAATTCGACAGGAACCCTTTCTCATGTGTGTGAAGGGTGAAGGTGATGCGGTATGAACTTTGTTATTAGGAGGTTTTTAGTTGAAATAACACTAATGATAAGAAAAATTGAAACACGTTTTATATTCCCAAGAAAACATATTTGTTTATAATACAAAAATAAATTGGAAAGTTACGGTATGTATCAGACATGAAAATTGTTAGAGTTTATCCTCGATATTTCCTATATTGCAATTTCTGCGAGTGTTTAATTTTTTTATTCATTTCAACATACAAACTGCCTTCGTGGCCGAACGGTCACCATGCCGGACTGCCACGCAGAGGTCCCAGGTTCGATTCCCGGGTCATACAGAAATATTTGTATGGTCTACATTTATTTCTCTCATGTGTTTAAGTGTAATTTGTGGTTGTCTATGTGTGTCCATGGCACCCGCGACACAGGGTTTCCCTAGTGTGGAGCTATGTTGAGTGTGTACATTATTATTATTATTATATATTATTATTATTTCTTTAAATTAGGGAGATGTGGAACTGGCTCCCATGAATAAGAAATTACCCACTTTTAATTTTAACTTTCATTTATTACTGTAGCATAGTAAAGTAGTCTTTTAATGTGTAACACAGAATAAGTAAACAAACAATCATATTAAATAAAGAATGCTTAGCATTCATGTGATAATATAAAAGTTATTGAGAGACACATTTTTGAGGTTATCTGAAAAACGTGGTACCTTAGGTTATTCTATACTATCACAGCTGATCCTCCATGACTTTTGCCATCAGAGTGGTTTGTGTTACACATTGTATAATTATCTAGCTTAAAACACTTGTGGTGGTTTAGATAAGTTTCTGAGATAATGATGATGTCTATCTTATTAGCTTTAAGTATCACTTCTACTCCGTGTTTGTTTGGCAATAGGCCATTGATGTTCCAAGCAGCAACACGTAGTGCAGACACAGGGCACATGGCACTTGCAAACTTAATGTCACTGGGTGACAGGGGCAGCAGCAGTGCCCCTCCAATCTTTGCAAATTAAAATTCAGTAGCAGTAATTGCTAAAGGTGTATTGGTTACCACCAGACACATGGCATGTCTGTCCTGTCTCTTGATATCATAAAAAATAAATATACATTTTTATGTTTTACCTGTAACCAGAATGTTCCCAGTATTATCGAACTTGCAGCACATGACTCTTCCATCCTGCTTGTCAAATAACTTTTTATACACAATATCGTCATTTTCCACAGAGTACAAGTTTATGTATCCCTGTTCTGTACCAACAGCTACATGTGATTCTATATTGTTTACATCTAAACACCATGCAGCATACCCAGTAAGCAACACTGAGGTTTTCTGCACTAACTTGGCGAGATCCCACTCTACTAGCGCTCCACCAAGACCAGTGGACAACAATCTTGGTCCAACCCAGCCTAGTGCCTCCACTGAACCATTTTCAACACCAGGTATAAATTTCACTAAATACGGCGCTTGTTTCAAATCCCATACTTCAATAGACGCGTCAGCTCTGTAATGTGGAAATAAAAAAGTAATATTACACAAACAATATTACAAAATAAAACTTTATAATATTTAGCGAAATATCTAACCTTGCAAGTGCAATGTTTCCGAGTGTTTTATTGAAAGATACACAATTTATGGCTTGAGGTTTCGGTTTATAAAATCGCACCCTGTGCACTTTGCTGGCCATGTTAACACTGTCTTCTATCTATACTTTCACAACAATGGCATGGAAGGTAACTATTATATTCCGAATGAAATAGCATACCACAAACCACTAATACCTACTAGACACAAACTTCGACGGGTAACGTCAAAGTTGTGAATGTCAAGAACCACGTGTAAATTGTTTACAAAGTTTGAATCACTTTAAAGTCTATTATGTGTTTAATAATAAATATAGATATCATTGGGTTTTATATGGTAATATCATAAAAAGAAAAATTATGATATTTTTTAATGAAAAATCGCACTGTTTCTGTAATCGATATTTAATTTTCTCGGCTTGCTCAACTACCAATAAAAATAACAGCCTTTGTAAATACAACAGGGTTCTCTAATATTGCCAGTTGTCCACTTTCTTAACTACTGTATATTCAGTTTTTTATCATTATTATTAGAAAAATAGGGCTCGCAGAACATGTCGCGACTTTTACGAGGGCAGCCAGTATCTCGCACTTTAAGCTGTTGTGCTAGCCATACTTTTTATTTATTTAAAATTTATTTAACAAACAAGTCAGATAAAAATTAGTAGATGTTAATGTATATTACATGGTATTACCGTTAAAAATAAGTTCTTTCTTTGGTGTTGATTCTAAATATTTTCCTATAAATATTTGTGTTTATTGGAGATACCTGAACACTTCGGTGTAAACCTAATTGTTGTACACCATGGGGGATGGACAAAGTGAAAATCAACCCCTTTTGAGGGACGGTAAGCATAAACGACGATATCGATGTTTTGACAGCTGATGATTCAACGAAAAGCCAATTTGCTATTAATTTGTTGCTAAATAATAATACATAACAATGGATGCAGTTGCCGATGCAACAAAAAAATTTATATTACGCAACGATTTTCTTCATTTTGTTGCGTGTTATTACTTAAGCTTGATCACGAATTTACTTGTATGTTTGACAGAGGAGGTAAATGTCAGCACAATATCTCCTATCGGTCCCGATGAGCTGCCGCCGCCGTACCAGCAGGCGGGGTTGCCCATGGTAACATGTCGCGTGTGCCAAGCCATGATAGACATATCTGGAAAGCGTGAGCAGCACGTCGTCAAATGTTCTGATTGTAATGAGGCCACGGTAAGAAGCCTTTTAAACACTTAGGTACCTTATTAACAAATACATCAGGCCATGCACTGTGATAATCCATTTTCACAAAGTTTAGTTGCTTGTGCTGTTTGACAATTACAATAGGAAGCAGTATAGGTATATTATTTTAATCTGGAAATAAATAGATGACATGAAAAGTGATTCATCTTCTATAGGCACAATTCCCTTTGAATCTAAATAAGTTACTTAAATAATATTTAATAACATATTAAGTATTACTATTTTAATGTTCCATGATGTTGTACATAAATGTTATTAGATTTAATTATTAAATTACATAGATGTAAAGCATAAATATGTTCTTTACAGCCAATAAGAAATGCTCCACCGGGTAAGAAGTACGTACGCTGTCCGTGCAACTGCTTGCTAATCTGCAAATCTTCATCTCAGCGTATAGCATGTCCGAGGGCAGATTGCAAAAGGATCATTAACCTGGCACCTTCTCCGGTTACTCCCCCTGTTCCCACTTTACCTGGCATGTGCAGAGTAATCTGTGCCCATTGCCAAGACACATTTTTGGTAAGATTTTAATTTAACATTTAAAAAAGGATGTATACTTAAAAAGTGTGCAGCTTTTACTGATTATTAAACCTAATTTCTTCACAAACATTGATGCCAAATAGTGTACTATATGTACAGGGTTAAATGAAAGTTGTCAATATTTACTTTTTACACTTCTATTGTATGATAACCAACTTATGTATAGCATGGAATAGAATATTATAGACTGCCTGTTCCAATCCATTATATATGAAATGTAAAGAAAATGGTTTAGTAAAATTCTAAAGCAATCACTCAATAAATTGAATAAGTAACACTCACATATATTTCAAAGATTTTGATTTGATATCTCATCACTTTTTACACCAACATTCATTTGAATAACATCATAAAATCATATTTCAAAAGTGGTAGTCATAAACTGAGATTATGTTTTAATTATAGATGTATGAATAGTCTAGGGTTGTATAGTGATTTATGGAAAAAATGTTCAGTTCATTCAATTAAAGTTTTTGTAATTGATTAGTAAATTGATAATTTCAATCGCAATCAAACTAGTATCTAAGTGTAAGGATGTAAATATGCTATTATAGGTTATGTAAGGAATACCGCTAGTATGACTCAATTAAACAAATAAATTAATTTAAATACTTAATTGATTTCTAGTTGGCAATAAAATTGGCCATCACTATGGTCGGGGTCAGTGACTTGTTTGTTTACTTTTTGTTTCAAATGGATTGAAACAAAGTATAGTTACTATGGTTAATTGCAAAGCTGTAGACCTATTAATTAAGACTGTAGACCAAGACTAGTGATATGCACAATACAGATAAGTTTGTTGATTTCTACGCCAGAGGTCAGGCATTTTTGTAGTGAAAGTATTTAAGGTTGAATTTATTGCTCCTTTTGTATTTTTCAGATATTAGATTCTTTTATGAGGCCTTCTTGATTTACATGGCGAATTTGCATCTAAAAATGTCTCAATTAATTTTTAACAGACTTTTACTGTAAATAAAAAAATTATATATAAGTATAATAAATAAAATACAAATTTAGCTTAATTAGAAATTTAATAAAAAAATGTTATCAATCAATGTTCAAAAAAAGTTCAAAGTCATTGTACTTTGATTAATAACATTTTTTGATAAGCATATTTTTGTTTCAGTACCAGCTGTTGAAAAACGCGCCAGTGCGATGCCCTCATTGTCGGAAAGTGTCCTCGGTAGGGCCGCGAATGGCACGCGTTAAGGGAACCGTATTCGCTATAATGGCGCTGATATTCTTCGCTATTGCATTGGGAGTCACTCTCGGTACTCTGTCAGCAGCTAAAACACACGGTGGAGGCATATATGTTGCATATGTTGGCGCGTTCCTGCTAGCATTCATCCTCGCTGGCCGAGCTGTCTACTACTTTGCTATGAAAGTAAGTGTAATTGACGGCCCTATGTAATACTAAACTCTGTAGCTCTAGATCTTGTGATATGACTAGGAAATATTGAAGTTATTGATTCCATATAGCATTATTATGTTATGAAATAGTTTTTATTACACAAAATATGAAAACAATATTTAAGCACCAACACTACAGAAGACAAGTTGGTTGTTACTCATGTTAAGGTGGTGCCATTGTATGTACGCCAAAACAAAAATAGGGAGGGGTGAGAATAAAATTTCTATACATTTTATAAGAATTAATGGTAGTTGAAATATTAAAGATTTTGATTTACTTTTTCATAGAATTGCATTGATTTCTTTTATAGATCATTCTTCATAATTTCTGATTAAATAAATTATTTGGAAATGTTCTTTTGATTGTTGTGCTATGTATAAATTATAATATAAATATTAATAAAAGCTTTTCGTGAGATTATTATTTAAAAAAAATTACACCTTAAAAGACGGTGATTATGTTTTATATATTGGTTTCATTTTTTTTTTATGAACAGCAAATAATGTTGTTTTCGAATTATTTCAATATTATAAAGTGTAAATCTGTGTATATCTAATCCACACAATAACACGCAAATAAGCCATTCAAAAAACACCAGTGAATATTTTCTGCATAAAATATACAAATGGACATTTATATATGCAGAAAATATTTAACATGTGGCGTGACACAATTTCTTAGACATATTTATTAGTATTGAGTTTTGTGACATATTATTGCTTTATATATACTTCAAACGAAAATGAGCCCACCTTGTTCTCTAAGGCTCAATTCACAGTGGCGCAGAGTCGAAGCGTCGCGACGCGTCATGTTTTTCGCCTATAGCATATTCATCTCTATTTTCCCATAATTAAGGTACAAATTTATGTTATGCAAATATGGAGTCGAGAGTCGACGCGCGTTACTTGAGCGCAGTGAGGCGTCAGACGCCGACCACACTGTGATCCGGGCGCACTAATGCGAGCGTTGTCGCGCGTCGATGCGCGTCGCCAGGCGTTGTAGTTGAAAAACAAGACGCGACGCGACGCTTCGACTCTGCGCCAATATGAGTTGAGCCATATAGTAATAAACTAATAAGACTAAAATTGAGTGTCACATAATTTGACTAAAAGAATACTACCCAAAATATTGTTTTGCGCTGCTTGCATCTGTTACTGCATTCCTGTATAATTTTTTATATATTGTGAAACATAAGATGCGTCTCTAATTATTACATAATTGGTAGGAAAATGCTTTGAGTGAGCATATTTTAGAAACCATTTCAACATTTAAGTTGATACAAATGTTACTAATTTTTTTTAAATTATGCCTGTAACTTCATCATCACCACAAACTAATCATACATCCCACAGCTGGACACGCCTCTGTATCTGTAATTTACGAGTCATAAAGAATCTGATCCCGAAATTACCATGTACTGTAAAGATGTTCTCTTTTTATTATGTTTATGTTATATTTAGTGGTTTTCTACAAAATGGAAATCTCAGTGGTACCTAATGGTTATTTTGATGGGATGTGATAAAATAACGACAGTGAAAGATCGCAGTCAATAATTTGTTTTTTAAATGCTTGCAGTGTTATCTTGTCAGTCTGTTACATTCTCCGATAAATGTATTAATTTAGGATTTTTATGTATAAAATTAATGGTAATTTAGGTAATTATCATGTATCATTTATTAATAATTTTCGTAACATGTTAGGGCTTTACACGTGTATTTATAGCTATAAGGCAAATAAACTGTAACCACAAAAAGTTTTCTAGTTTTTATTGCACCATTAATTTAAAAGAAAATGCGTATTCAATTAAGTTTGTTTATTATATAATGATAAAATTATCTGAGGTCATCTTATTTAATGTCAAAAATTAGGTACGTTTACGCTTATAAATTAGAGCAAGTGCATAGATTTCTTAAAATAGTTGTGGTCTTAAAATTATATGGCTGCCGCGGTCATCGATTGTCAAGAGCCGCTTCAAAGTCCTCTTTATTTTCAAACACAAATAATGAATAGGTGCATTTCACTTTTTGACTGTTAAATAAAAAGACGTACAGCACTTTTTTGTTAATGACGTCAATAAAATACTAAGTTATAATGAAATCCCTAATGGGATATAAATTAATTTTTACAAATTGCATTTTTAACGCAAATTTATGAATAACGTCCTTTGTTTAACGGGGTAGGAAGTTATTACTTTACCCTTGGTTTTGGGGTATAATGATCTTGTACTCCATTAATTCCATATTTTTTAATAAGAACGATTCACTCACTGTCTATAAATTTAAATACTCTCACATTTAGGCATATAAGTGCCATTATAATTGTGGACTTACGGATACAATGGTTCCAAATGTACTGACCGACTATGTATTAAACATTAGACACCTATATAGATATCATATAAATTTTGTATTGCAAAAATATCGGAATGGACCTTATTTATTATCATCTAATAGTACACATCGATATATACTCAAAACTACGAGAAGGAATGTCTTTATCGCACGACACACAAAGCTCCATTGTTAAACGCGAAAGAAACTAATCAAAACTAGTACCATGTACTTAGAGAAATATACAAAAATTACGAATGTTCTATTACAACTTACAAGTGATAAAGATGGTCGATTAAGAAATCGTCATTTCAGGGTCTTATCTGTATCACGAAAGATCATTTCTGTTACTTATACCCTTCTAAAGTCACTTAAATTACGCTTACATTAGCAGTTATTACGTCGTTAACATACAGAAACGTTGAGTGCTTCATTTGTGATAAAAAGTTTCTGTTATTGTCAACGCCATGCGCAAATTGGGGCTCAAAGTTTACAATCTCCTTTTCGTTTTGTAGGTGTTCATGTTAGTTTAACACCTATGTGCAGTTAATGTGACTTGTCGTAGGAGTCCTTATGTTGGTAGCCAGACACGTAGCCCGAAGCATCGACGACGTCCTTCCTGCCAGCGATGCCTTTGCCTTTCCCTGTCTCGTCGAACCGTTGTTTGTGTGATCCAGTGTATTTGCTGGTATCCGTCAATCTGTCTACTGCCGCTGCGGCAGCTTGTGATTTCGTCACCTGTAACAGAGAATAAATAACTTTATATAAAAAAAGACCTCAAAAGATCGTGAAATTACATCATTTTATTCAATTACATCTATTTGCCAAGTTTCTTTGAAATTGGTAACCAACGAAACCGAAAGTGAAACCGGGTTAACCCCTAGTTTGCCGCCCTCAGAGGTGGAATATTTTCTTCAAATTTAAATGGGACCAATTTTGAAGTACCCTCTTTCCAATAAAAAAAGAATCGTCAAAATCGGTTCACAGGTTGAATTGAGAACCTCCTCCTTTTTTTGAAGTCGGTTAAAAAGTACCGTTATCCAATGAAATATGTGTCTTCTGGTAATGTGTGCCGTATTTTAAATGTAAATATAATATAAGCGCACATAGAAAGACTTGGATATATTTCAAAGATACCTACAATTGACCGCCAAAAAAATGAAGGGGGAATGTCTCCTATTATTACGCAACAAAATTTAGAGAAATTGAAACTCCTATAGGACTTACATGGCTGGACACCCCTGGCTGCCCACACGTTGTTAATTTCCTCTTTATCTCATCGAGCTCCACTTTTTTGTTCTTCGCAAGTTCGTCGAGGAATTTCTGGTAATCGTCGACGCCTACTTTCAAGGACTTGAGTTTCTTAAAATAAATGCCAGTGTCTGTGGTGGTGATCTTTTTACCGTCGATTACTTTAGCCTGTTTCATCCATTTGTCGCTCTGCGATAGAGTGATGAGTTTGCCGTCTGATTTCGGGTCCCCGAATTTGGAGAAGGCTTTAAATGCGTCCTGAAAAAATGTTACATCATTACATCTTCGAGGGGCAGAAATGTTTTGATAGGTCTTCTGTATATTATAAGGCTGCTAATAGATTGACTGAATGCGAGAAGTCGTTATCCGAGACCTCGACTGCCTAAAATTGATAACGACGTCACGCATTATCTGCACGCAATTAAAACCTACTTCATGCAGCTGAGATCTTATATATAATAATATATATATATATATTATCTCTCTCTTCAGACACAAGTTGACAAGTCCCATGTGCCTGTACTTTCACCAGCACCCTTACCCTTCTAAACCGGAGAGCAGTAATGCTAACAGTACTGCTTGGCGGCACAAATAGGTAAGGTGGCAGTACTTCCCTGGACGAACTCTTTCACAAGGTTCTGAGCTGCTAAAATGCCAGTGATGCCTTTGCCTTTAGTAGAGGCATCGAGACAAACCCAAGTAGGGTTTAACGGTACTTTACAATATTTATGTATACTTTTTTCTTAAAACAATAAAATAAAAAAATTACGGCTAAGTATTTACTCGTAGTATATTATCACAATCGGAGATCTTGATGACGTTCTTTAGCATTTTTCTTCTTGTTACAAATTACGACAGTACTTACCTTAAACGGTAATGCATTGTCGTTGCTCTTGGGCGACGTTCCGTTGGCTGCGCCGGCGGCACCGGGCGCGGCTCCATTTTCCAGCTTAACGTCCTTCACCTCCTGCGTCAAGTTCTCTACGGTTTCCTGGGCCTTAGCGGTCTCTTCTGCCATCTTCACTTACTTACTGAAACATTTGAAATGTATTTTTTAATTATTCAATTCTCGCTAGTCGTCGCTAGTCGCTTTTCAGAAATGATTTGTAATACAGTTTATAATTTATCCGTGTCTCTAATAACAGTAGCAGAACATTTTTCCGCAAATCTAAGTTAAGTTTAGATGGCATAATTAAAATATCTCACTTATTATCACTCCCCTTGTATCGTATGCATGACGGTGATTGTTATACAATTCATTTTGCAGGTATTATTAAGATGTTATTCTATCTCGGATCCAAGGTACTGGCACCAAATTAAATAAGCATGTTTATAGCTAAAATTGACTCATCTACCTAGCAGTGGCGAGGCGTCGTATAACTCCACTCTCACCGGCTTGCCTAAAATTTTCCAGCCCCCGTAGTATGGCTACGCATGATAGTTGCGACGCGCGCGATAAAATTGCAATAAGCGTGTGCTATTGGCTATCTAAATTAGATCTGATTGGGACAGCCAATAGCGCGCGGTTATTTCATTCATTTTATCGCCCGCGTCGCGACTATCATGCGTAGCCATGGTACGGGGGCAGGTATCATCAAATATTATAAATATTTAAAAGTACTTTACTACATTTTGTGCTCAATTTTACTTGTGCAATGTAATTAACCAGTGAAATAAAGTGTACTTGTATCTTGTGTGCTAATAAGTATTCTGTTTAATTGTCGCCAAGGCGCCACTTGTTAAGGCAAGTGTTTTTTGTTTTGTCCGGCTTTACTAAAGACAATTTTTACGCCTCGCTACTACTACCTAGTTACAGTATACATGAAAATTTAAAACAGAAGAAGGATGAAACAGCTGCTGTGCACGCCTAACGTACCAGACAAAATATCACGCCATTTGGGCACAATTTTATTCATACCTCCAGCCCAGCAGCCTTTTTGTAGTTGTGTCAGTAAAAAAATAATAATAATTAAGGGTCGTTTATGAGAGAAGTCAAACAGAAAGAACGTTTTACAAATAATTAAATATATATTTTTTTATATTTAATTATAATTATGTTTATTTGATTTAACTGCCTCCGTGACCGAGCGCTTACTAAGCAGAATTGCCACGAATAGTGGAAAAATGGAACATTTCACGTAATTTTCACCGTCTTATGGGAACTACAAGTTTTCTTTCTAGATAAATCTAAATATTTTGCGGGAAAAATGGTACCTAATCGGTACGGGGCAATATTAGGTGAGAGTATAGAGGGTGGTAAAAGATGTAACTCTTGTAAGGTGAAGATGATTTACTCGGCAATATGCGGTTTGGCGTTATTGTATTTACATTAAAGTAGCGATGAAGATGAGTTGATTAGTCACCGTCGTTCAGCGAAAGTATTCATTATTCTCTGAATTTTTTTAACGCACACATTCATAGCCCCGCACTAGGGAAACCCTGTATCGCGGTCGCCATGGACACACACTTTTTACGCCATATTCGTAAGTAGCACACCCAAATACCTCGAAAATGATACCCATATTGCCATTATTTAAAAAATCGTGCCCGCCATCTTGGATTTAGAAATTAGTGCCATATTTGTAATGAGCACCCCCAAATACCTGGAAAATGATACCCATATTGAATTTATTTGAAAAGTCGTTTCCGCCATCTTGGGTTTAGAAATTAATGCTATATTCGTAATGAGCACCCCTAAATACCTTGGAAAAGATACCCAACTTGCCATTATTTAAAAAATTTGTGCCCGCCATCTTGGATTTTGAAATGAGTTTCACATTCGTAATAAGCAGCCCCAAATACATCCAAAACCATACAATACAATACAATACAATACAATACAAAAATTCTTTATTGTACACCAAAAAAGGAAACAAATACAATACAATTAAATTAAACATAAGCGGTGGTACAATGGGCGGTCTTATCGCTTTAAGCGATTTCTGCCAAACAACCTTTGGATGGAAGTAATTATATAATTCACGGGAAAAAGACGGCGGTGTATGAGGAATTACTAATCAATAGATAAGAATTGATAAATAAATGCAAATAAACATATATTTATAAATAAGTAATAAAACCAATACATATATATGAATATCGTAAACTACTATATATTATTATACCTATAAATATAAAATTTCTAAAACGTAATTTCAAAACATAAAAATACCTAAGCAGTCCATGTCACACTAAATTAAGATAGTGTATTTTTACCATATTTTTTAATATATTCAATGATTTCGCTTGTTGAATAAACAAAGGTAAAGCGTTCCACAAACGAATAGCCTGAACAGTAAAGGACTTGTCGTAATACTGGGAGGTATGCATTGGCATCTTAATTTGGAGAGTTGAAGAAGAGCGCAGAAGTCAGGGGTTGGATTGATGGGCGAATTCAAATCGCTCATTAAAATAAGGTGGTGTGTGAGGAATGAATAAGATGCCATAGACAACTACAAACTAAACAACAAACAAACTAACAGCCAAACCCACGAGAGAAATAAATGTAGACCATACAAATATTTCTCCCGACCTGGGAATCGAATCGTTCGACCACGGAGTCAGGTTACAGATACATATGATCATTACATGTCTAACATTGTTAATTTTTCAACTTGTTTGAGCTGGATTTTCGCCATTATTGACTTTAAAGCGGCCACAAAATTAACAAAGACGAAAACAAATTAATAATGGCAAAATCTTAAATTTAGAAACCTTTAAAAGTTTTTATTATTCCACTAAAAATTCATTAAAACTTCATTTCCTTTCATTTTTGCCTTCATAAGTGTTACGTTTCACAGGGTTATGCGACTGGTTTACCTCTATTAAAAAACTTCTAGAAGGAAGGTTATTGCTTCTCTTATTGCTGCTATATACTACTGTTCAAAGACATCACCCATATCTACACAGAGTTTAGTGACAAAATACTCTGTTAAAATTGAAAGTGGTTTAACCACTTCTCGAATAAACTTTCAAAATTGATTTTATGATAGAACATCGCTATTGCTACTTTTAGATACGTAGGTGCTATTTTTGAAGACTGCAGGCAAAGACCGTCATGTATGTTAAAACTGCTCCCCTAGCTGCTAAGACGCTATTCTATTATACACCTTATAGTAACAAAGCTACACTTACTGTGATGATATTATTTTTTTACAATAATATTCTGCCCTAAGAATGAAAAAAGGCACAACTGTGTGGCACAACACAAATTTGTGCCTTTTTCGTTACGAGGGCAGTATTGGTTGTTTATTTGTAATTAGTGAATGGCCGTAAGATCCACGTTTCTAAGGTACTCGTAGGTATGCTATTTATCTGTACTTGTTGCCATGAATAAATAAACATTTTGTTTTGATAAAGCGAATTATATAAACACTTCATGCTTTACGTACAGTCATATTTTAATAGACACGAATACGTAGATAATCAAAAATGATGTCATACAAAAATAGCCAAACATGAGCGGTGTTACCGCTATAGTAGTGATATCGTAGCAGCGGCACTGCGAATCGCGTTTGTTCGCTAAAAGCGGCAATTACATCACCGACCTTGCCGGCTAACTATTCAAAGTTAGTGTAAATATCAGCTGAGATTGAGATCCATAGTGCAATCAGTAAATGATGGACAAGAAACTTAAAGACTACAGAAATGTATTTAGAGCTACAGAAAACTGGATATCGCCGGGATATTAGGATAGTGCAATTACGAGCATTTAATTATGAGTTTCCATTTCGGTAATTTAGTGTTCAATTCAAATCCGCGTAAATGTCGTGGCAACCAAATTAGTATGATTTACGCCAATCTATTGTTATCAGTTCGTAGACAACATAAATTAATGCTTATAATCTGAAAAAATGAAAGTTGTAGCCACTGAAATAACATAATAATAACGTTAAATCCCTTTCCTGTGAAATTTGGTTTAGTGCAGATCGCGCCTTTTACCAATACTATACATACGCGGATTTGATATATAGTTATGTTTCAAGTCAATTCGTGCCAGCACGCATTCATTTGTTACTTCTACGAAAGTTACTCACAAAATCTAATTTTATGATTTGGTAATGATTTTAAAATGCTGCTCTTTCAGTGGACCTTCTATCTATGGACTTGACAAAGACAACCAGGTATTACGTCGCCTTATCAAAATGCTAGTAGGTAGTCGAACTAGTACAACTAAAGTGCTTAATAAATCTATCAAATCTCAAGGTTGACGGATGCGCAGATAAACTGCCTATTGTTTATCGCAGCTATAGAATCTAATAAAAGTTAAGCAGGGAGTGCACCCTGCCGTTACGCCGCTTTGAGAATGTGATCTAACGCTGAAAGTTTCAATACTGAAAACGGTCCGGGAATTGCAACAATATAAGTACCATCGAATCAATACCAACCCAATCACATGCATTTGATTTATTAAAAAGAATACCAAAATCTGAATAAGCTCACATAGACTTTTTAACAATCTCTGATTGTGGATAGTATATTTCTTTATTTTCAGATTTGTTTTTACACTATTAATACGATCATGTACTATTCTGTAAATAACGAATTTAATTCACATAGAACATATTTTAAAACAAAATAAACCAAGAAATATTTTTAACATGCATACCTACCTACTACGTACTTTACGTCATTGTATCAAATATTCAGTAGGTACAGGTTCTTTAACCAGGAAATGAAATAAAATCTTGATTTGGACAACTCTTTCAACCTTGTATAGCATAATCCTGAAGACAATGTGAAGCTTCATTTATCAAGAGCGGCTTGCGGGGGCTAGCAATAACAATATGTTATTAGGTACCTACACCTCCGCTGATTTAGATTTACTGTGGGTGCCAGTACCACTTCGCCTGGTAAATAACTAAATAGAAACATAATCATAGATTAAATGATGTGACCTACGGATGAAGGTTGAAAGCAATATTGGTTGATTTGCTACCCAGGTGCCGATGATTCATGGCAAATTAAGTGAACCTGAACCTATAGCACTCTTAATTAAATAGACGCTGACTCCAGTGGCCCTGCTAGACAC